TTATCCTAAAATATTTATCCGATAAGTACCACTATCTAGTAGTTGTAGTACCGAGAATCTTCGATGAGGAAAGAATAGAAAGATTTTCAAAAAATTATAATGGAACACAAGAGCACGATGTGTTAACGGTTAACCGCGCTTTTCTATGCAAAAAATATAATAACGGTTGTGCCTTAAAGAATGGATATTTTGTATTTCTTCGATAACTCCGTCAGTTTTGATCGAATCGAACTAATTTTTTTTTAAAGATTCATCGTTCAGTTCTCTATCAAACTGTAAAAAGGTTTTTGTTCTAAACTATAAACTAAAAAAGTTATTGTAAAAATAATGAAGAAATCCAACATGCTATTTCAAGCCCAAAAATTAATTTCTTTGCATTTGTGCTCAGAGATATAGAACGAAAAAAAAAAGTAAGTGAACCATTTTATAGAGTTTTGAAAGTTCTACCTTCCTAGTATGTTTCAAACTTTTTGGAGCAAAACTCTATCGCACAAAATTTGCTTTTGTTTTTTTTCGGATGTTTCAAAAAACACCAAGTTCAAACGGTGATTTTGGCTCTTCTCGGAAAATCGACGTAATTCGACCGAAATACAACCGTTTCAGTCAACTTTTTTTTTGTTTGAAATCTCATGAGTTGTACTACGAGAAGCCATGCTTAGGTCAAACAAAAATTACTTTTTTTCGCCAGGTTCAAACGTCAAGACGAAAAACATTAGTTTTCGACCTGGCAAGCAAAAAATTGATTTTGCTTCACTGGTTTTGACCGAAACGTCTTTTTTTTATACGATCAGAAAGAACATAGTTTTTTGTACAGTAAATCATAATTTAATATTTTTTCAGATGAGCTTTATTGCCGAAAACAATGGTAAAACAGTTTATGTATACGAGCTTGAAAGTTAGACACGTTGGGCTTCTTCATTATTTTTACAATAACTTTTTTAGTTTTTAGTTTAGAACAAAAACCTTTTTACGGTTTGATAGAGAACTGAACGATGAATCTTTTAAAAAAAATTAGTTCGATTCGATCAAAACTGACGGAGTTATTGAAGAAATACAAAATACCCATGGCACACCCGTTACACGCGTTTTAGTGAAATTACTACCGTTAAAAGTACGTCTGTTGGATGTCAAGTATCACCTCCTGAATGAAAGAACATTTTGAGTAGTAAAAAACGGAATTATTAATATCTTCTGCTTTAAATTTCGTCATAATAATTTAAGATTCGGCGAGATATACTCATACTTTGTACGAAAAAAAACACCAGAAATCCAATTTTTTCCGAGACGTATCCAATACTTGCGACTCACTTAATCGACAAAACGTTACCTAGTGTCTTTCTTGGTAAAATCATCATCTGAATCACTTCTTTTTCCTAATGGTGAGTTTGATCGTTTCATGGACGTTGGTGAAGAACGATGAGATAAATCGTCTCTTCTCCAATTCGAAATATTTTGTTGATTTGTTGGTATCATTCGAGATGGAGATGACCGCCCACCACTCAAATCTGTGCTATCGTGTAGGGCTATTTTAGATTTAAAATTATGTTTATATCTATCATATTCTCTTTTTAATGCAGATAATTCACTTTCTGTTTCATTCATTTGTTCTCGATAATGATCTCTGTCTCGTTTTATTTTCTCAATTATTTCATTTAAACGTTTTATTTCTCGTTCTCTTCCAACTACAATTCAATAAAAACACTTACATCAGGATAATGTTTAAAATTTTCTTATTACTTTGAGAGTGTTTGTCAAAATCTTCGTCAATATGCTAAAAATTAAATAAGTAAACAAATTTGGGAACTATGTCGATATTTAATCTGTTATTATAGAATACAAACTTTGTGTCTTGATTGTCT